AGGATAAAGTATAAAATAAAATGGTTGGATTTTAATTTTTGTCAGAACTTGAAAAAATAATTTGCAGTAGTAATCTGCAGGCAATAATATTAGAAGTTGGAAGAGTATTTACTTGAATTTCTAATAGAGTAATAAATTACTTCCAAAGTTGCACTTAGAAAGATAAAATAATCAAGATGAGTGAGTTAGTTAAAGAATTGGCTTTAATGTCTCATATTATATATACAGTTTACAAATGTTTAATAAAGCATATGTAACTAGTCTAACAAAGGCAAAAAAAAAAAGTATAAAATACAGTATATTCTTAAATATAAGATTCATAAATATTTAATAAATAACTGTTTTTTCCAATCATTTGAGGTGCAGTAACTTCAATAACAGGGAAATGGCTTCCAATACAAGAAACTCCAAAGTTTTATAACTTGATTAACAAAGAATAAAAAGAAACCAATATGTAGAAAGAAGGAGCAAAGAAATTGATTCCTTTCATAACTAACTATATATCAAGAAGCCCATTAATACACAATCAAAAACATCAATAACATTGGCAATAGAGCTCAATCAAAATATTAAGAAAACAAATTCACATCTTTGTTAAAAAATTTTCTAATGTAAAAGAAGAATAAATATATATTATTATAGTTGGCATTTTAAAAAGATATTTTTTGATAAAATATTTTATACAGAATAATTAAAATAATAATTATAATTACTTATAGTTAAAGAATTTATTGAAATATTTGAATGAATATTCGAAATCAATTCAAGTATTCCAGCTAACTTGTAAATGATATTGTATTGATTTATATTTTTATAATGAAATATTACCAAAAGGTTTGCCAAATTGAACATATAGTTTTAAAGAGATTTTGAAATGTGAACAAGAAAAAGATATAAAAAAAAGTAAATAATTAACAATTAAATCTAAAAGATAAAAATAACCAAATATGAAAAATTATTAATGTATTCAAAGGATAAGGAACAAACTAAAGAAAGTGTACAAATGGATGAAATTGGAGGTAGTTAAGTTAAAAAAAAAAAGCAAAAAATCTTAAAAAATATTTGACAAAATAAAATCAATTGAGACTAGTTTTAAAAAAATTAAACTGAAATTTTTAAAGAGAAAAGAAAAGTCAGTAAAAGAGAAAAAAGAGGAGAATAAAGAAAGTGACAAATAATTTAGTCAATTGATTTGTAATTTTCTAATAAATTTTGTAAAATTTGTTAAACTTCATGAATATTTATTAAATTTCAATACTGAATTTGTAAATTTGTTGAATTTTTTGTTACAATAATTTTTTTGTCAAATTTTTTGCTACAGTATCAATTTTTTATCAAATTTTTTGTTATGTAATTTTTTTGTCAAATTTTTTGCCATAGTATCAATTTTTTAGTTAAATTTTTTAATACAATATTAATTTTTTTGCTAAATTTTTTATCACAGTATGCAAAAAAAGATTTTTATCACAATATTATTAGATTTTATGTTGAATTTTTTTGTTGCAATATGTTGAAATTTTTTTGCCAATTTTTTTGTACTAAGTGGCAGCAATCATAAATAATTCATTAATCTTTTTATTATTAATTTTTGTCAAATTTGATAATAATTCAACAATTGAATAAAATAATTTTGACTAGTATAAGCTTATTTATATTTTTTTACTAATATGTTTTTGTTAAGCCAATCAACTTATAAGATACTTTATGTTACTCAAAATTCAAAAACAAACTGAAATAGATAAGATTTCCTTAAAAATAAAAAAAAAAATTATTAGAACTCAGATTAATGATCAAAAAATAGATGTAATATATTTATAATAACTCTTTTATAATTCTAAAAGTTTTGTAATATTTTTATATATGTAAATAGGTAGTAGAATATCAGTTCTTCTTTTTTTCAAACTTTCTTGCTATTGATAGAAAAATGTTTCATGATTTTTAGATTATAATAGTTAAATTTTTATTTAAAAAAAAGTATTAACATGTAAAAAAAGATATGAATATAGTTTTTGAAGTTTTATTCAAGTTGATTTAATAAAATTATTAAGATTTTATTAGTAAAGGAATATAAAAATTTCTTGCAAATGTTTTTTTGATATATAGTTAAATGATTAGTAGAAAAAGTTGATGACAAATAATTAAAAATATTTTTTGATAAAATATTTTATATTGAATAATTATAATATTAATTATAATTATTTATAGTTAAAGTATTTGCCAAAATATTTGAATAAAAATTTGAAATCAATTTAAGTATTTTGATTAACTTGTCAATAATATTATAATATATTATATAATATCATCAAAAGATTTATTAAATTGAATATATAGTAAGAAAGAGATTTTAAAATAAAATAAATAAAAAACAAAATAAAAAAAGATAAAAAATTAATAAAAAAATTTTATTGAATATAAGAAATCCTTGATATATTTAAAAAGTGAAAAACAAATTAAGAAAAGTATACAAATAGGTAAATTTTAAGAAATAATTAAAAAATTAAAAGAAAAAATAAAAAAAACTTAAAAAAATTCAGTAGAATAAAACTAATCAAGACAAGTTAAAAAAAATAATAAATAATTTAATCAATTGATTTTATAAATTTTCTAATAAATTTTATAAAATTTATTAAATTTTTTAAATAGTTACAAAATTTTAATACTGAATTTGTAATTTTTGCTAAATTTTTTACTATAGTATATAAAATTTTTTGTTAAATTTTTTGTTATAGTGTTTAAATTTTATTAAAATCTTTATTGTAATATATAAATTTTTTATCATAATATATAGATTTTTATCAAGATTTTTTATATAATATACAAATTTTTGACAATAATCAAAAAAGATTTGTTTATATTTTTATTATTAAATTTAATCAAATTTGATAATACTTTAACTATTGAATAATATAATTTTAATTGATATATAATATCAAATAATTTATAAATATAAATTATTTTCTTTATAAATTTAATAAATTTTTGATAAAGTATTAATAAATTATTGTTGAATTTTTATTGAATTTATAACTTTTTACTTTTGTATAAGCAAAATTTAGAAAATGTTATAAATCATAATTTAGATAATAAAAAACTATTATAAATAGTATTTTAATGATTATTACTTTAAAATTTTTAATGATTCTTAGCAAGAAACATTTGATTTTTATTATTGTTTCTCTTTTAAAAAACTTATTTTAGTTGAATATAAAGATGAGCTAATATTATAAAAAATTATTATTATTATTATTAGAATTCAAGTTGAATAGTTTATATCTTAATAAATATAAAAAGCACAAAATTAAAAAAAAAATTTTTTTATTTTATAAAATTTAACCAAGTATTTGTATAGTATATATCATATTAGTTAAATCAGCATTATAATTAGCAAACATTATAATTTTAGAAACACATTCCACAGGAGTGGCATCAATTAAGGCGTCCGAATTATGTGATTATCATGTAACGGAACGCCTTTGTATTGTAACACCGTTTCTGATCAACGAGCATGGATAGATGTATAGGAGAGCATAAGATGAACTCTCTTGGTCATCAATTATTTTATTTATATTATACCAATCAAACAAGATTTTGATGTTCCTTTGTTGTAGGGTATACGTGCGAATTTTCGAAAGATCGAGCCGTTTCTGAACGCCCAATTATTTCCATCTTTTTTCGTGTACCAGTCGAAAGTTTCACCGCATTTTACTGTGTGGGAAAGTCCGAAGGAAAAAAAATAAACTAAAGGAATTGATCCTGTTGCATATGCAGAACGAAAACATATAATGCTCAAAGAAGATGTGGTTCTCGTTGATTACGTAGGCAAAGGAAGGTAATTAGACACTTTGGTTATCATTAAAATTTTCATAATTCACGAAACTCGGTATACATCTATGGAAAATTTGGTCTGTGGGGGTAATCGGAATTAGTCGGCCAGCAGCAGGTTATTTGGTAATACAATGTTCGATAAAGTGGAGTCACGCGTCTCAGTTTCATTGATCAAACAAACAGAAATTGGAAATTGGAAATTGGAAACCCAAAAGGCGATATTTCTCATGTAGCGTGTTATCGATCAAAATTTAAAAATTGGTGTTTACAGAAAAAATGATTCTCGCTTGTAATCTCTATCGGACTTGGGTTCGAAGTACGATGCTCTTGATGATATGATCGAATGAATTCGTAACCCTTTTTTTAAAAAATTTTCTCTATCCCGTTTTGGAAATGCGTGCCACATTCGAGGTTGTGTGCAGACATCTTTCTTCGTTACCCGCGCTTTTCTTAATGAAAATACGTTTTTATGCTAAATATAGTATGTACGTATTTAACCAATCACATAGATATATGGTCATATCTTTTTTTACACGCATAAAAAAGGATTTTTGCACCTCATGCATAAATGATTTCTTCCATCATTGTGCCTCTCTTGTTCACTCTTTTAACTTCAAAATTAAAATTATTGTTTCCATCTTGACCACCTAATACTCTCTTCTTCTCTCTTCTCGACATACACTCAACCCATCCCTACTCGATGATTAGCGATGGTTCAGAAATCCAGGAAAAAGCCGTACTCATCATCAGTTTACAAATCTGTATCTATTGCGGCCTTCCCGACCGAAATTCTTTTAACAACCTTTTCACATCTCGACATCCCAGAACTCCTTTGCCTTTCGAACGTTTGTAAACGTTTCCGGTTTATAGGAGAAAAATGTATAGCTGAAAAATTAAAAGAACCAAGTGTCGCTTTATCCTTATCATTCGAACAAGAACATAAATGGAATTATGGTGTTCTTTTTTCCTTTGACCATTGGGATTTGAGTAGCGGGAAATTTGTTTTCAAACCCAAATTATCTGAAAGAATGAAATTCATACATTCGCCAATGATCAAAAGACCCACTATATACAAGATTCAAATTACCATATCTGATGGCAAAAATAATGCTGACAGATCGGTAACGGTAGGGACTGCAACTAACAACACCACGACACGAAGCAGTAATGCCCCAATGAACACCGCCACACAGAAACATAATAAACTTCCGGAGAATTTCATACAGAATTCTTGCACGTTTCCTATTAAGCAAACAGATGCCACTGTCGAAAAAATAGCGAAGGTATATCGAAAGGGACATGGGACAACTCATCTAAAAACATCATTTAGATTTACATACTCCATTACCGATACCCCATCACCACCGGAGCACATAAATCGTGGTGGTGAACGATGGATAACTCCGAAGACATTTGAATGTTACACGAGTTTCTTTTATCCCCATGAACCCACTGCGCATAAGATAATAATGAATATAATAGAATTAAAAAAGAAGAATGGTAATTACAATAAGAAAGAGAACAAATCACCGAAAAATAACTCAACTAAGCGAAATAAGGGAAAAAGTGTGGTTCGTTCCGATGATTTCGTTAATAAAGGAAAAGGAAAGAATGTTGATGAACCACTACAAGAGAATTTACTAGAGATCGAGCTGAACATGAATGGACAAGAAACATCGTTACGGGAAGGCAGTATAAATAGCATTGATCTTTCATACTTACAAGAAATGCAAGAACAAGAAAATATGATGATCAAGAAATTTATGGGTCCTATAAAATCGTCAACACGATGGGTTCGTGGAGCGAGAAGATGAATTAAGATAAATGCACAAATTCAAATATACTATGTATCTCTTATTCAAATAGACTGAGAAATAAAATTATTTAATATTAGGAATAAAAAAATTTTTTTTTATCCTGTATGCGCACGTGCGCCATACAATGTGAATGTTATCAGTCACTTCCCTTATCAAACACTCATTTTAGCAAGCCCCTCAACACATCTGATCAGCTGAAATCATAAAGTAGCGCAAACATGCATTCACAAGGAAATTGACGATCTTTGCAATAGCGTTTACGCATTCGGATAATAAATCTCTTTTCTAATATTTAAACAAAGTCGTTGTACCAAAACCAAAGTATCAAGAAAGCTTAATTAATGCGAACGCACTTCCCTAGTGACAAAATGCAGACGTGAAATCAGAGATTTAAAAAGAATGAGTGAAATTAAACGCCATTAACGTGGGTAGACGGAGTCAGATATAAAAAGGCTGTAAAATAGTAAGAACTTTTTTTAAAAAATAATATAATCTATTTAATTATAATTATATAAAGTTTTGATGATATTCGAATTGTTTAAGAAAAAAAAATCGTATATATTTATAGCCATAATAATTTTTGAATTATTAATGATTTTAATTATTATTTTAATAAAAATATAAAAAATAATATATTTTTTACTTGATTTATTATTATAAACCTTTTTTATATGTTAATTTAGATATTGTAATTCTTCAGAAATCTGTAAAAGTAAAAATTATAAGAGGGTCAAGACAGCTAATAAGAAGAAAAATAAGTCCTTATACTACAACAAATTTTTATAAAATTCATTTTCAAAAATAAAAAGGTCTTTAAATATTTTACAATAAACTTCTTTTTTTTTTTTTTAGAAACTTTCATGTTATTGATAATAAAGATTTTTTTTTAACTTTTTTTAATTATCAAAAGTTAAATAGTTATTTTTGAAGATACTCTTCAAGTTGTTTTAAAAATAATAATAAGATTTTATTAGTTAAAAGTTTAACATGTTTTGATAAATATTTTGTATATGTAATTAAAAAATCAATATAAAGAGCTTTATTTATTTTTAGTTTAACAATATTTACATTTTTTTTATATAGTTTAATTTTACAATCTGATATTAATAAATAATTGACATAATAATTTATTAATAATAATTTTTATAGTTATTAATTAAAAAATATTTATTAAATATAAAATTATTTATATGATATTTATCAAAAAAAATAAATAATTCTATAAATTAATAATATACAGTTGCTTCCAAAAGTTTGAGTCCACTTATTATGTTTTTATTATAAATTTCAACTTTGACAATTTTTAAA